AGACAAAAGTTACTGTAGGAGTTGAATTCAGACAAGAGTACGCACGAATACGCAATTTATTCGTATGTATTTGTTAAACAAATAGGAAAGGAGAACCGGATGCATTTCGGGCTGAATGATGTGAGGATTTACGATTCGCCACAATATGTTTTCTTCCATACTTTGTGTGTCAAAGCAAGCAGCAACGTAACGCAGAAGGAAGTACTGATTGGCCATCTTCCAGAAATTTCAAGGAATACCAGCTGAATGTCACCATGTGTATTCACTCACAAAAGTTGGACTTAACTATTTCAGATAGCTTGTATTGTCTTTGTTGGGAAAATAAAATGTATGTATCCATGGTGTTTACAAGGCACTTGTCGATCAAAGCACTATAGTAAGTGTTGGTTGATGTTAATACCTACTCAGCCAATGATAGGCGAGCACGTTTGAATTTGATCAAGTTTTGTTCCCCGAAATCCTACATTTTCAGACGCATCAAACACGGTGCGCATTCGTATTCATCAGATATGTTATAGAGGCACTGCCAGGATTGTACTGAGATTTTTTCGCATTCTGATCTGCACATAGGTGCTTCCTAATTCTGAGCACCGAGATTGAAAGCTATTCTGAAGGATCACATATATTTGTTGAATGAGGGAATATTTAAACACACAGACACACGAAAAGAGTGTAACACTGGTCGGTGACAAACATGATGCAACGGGGTAGTTAACGATTTGACCAACTTAGATTGTTCGAGCCAACCAAGAGAGCGTGGTATGGGGTTCACACTGTACAAGTCATTTGCAAGCCTTTAAAAATATCCAACATTGTACAACACATTTCTATGGAGGAAAATATCGGTAGCTCAGGTAGCGTAGATAGTCGTTGGCTTGTTTGCTGAGCTGGACAGTCAAATTGCCCCACTGACCCACCCCTACGCACAACTACGCTCCCCAATAACGCACTGATGATGTCACCTCGATTGGTGATGAAACGTTTGCATTCAAATTGTCCAGCTCAGCGAACAAGCCAACGACCGTTGTACAGCACTGTATCGTCCAGTTTTATACACCTAACCAGTGCACTGTCAGTTACAAATCCTATTCCATTGTATCTTAACGAAAGTACCATAAGTCCAGAAATGCTATCCAAAGATAATTTGTGGCTTATGCTACGCTGTCGTGATTATATTCGAAATCCCACACATGTAATCTTTCGTATTACTGTGATTTGTTTAATCAAAATTAACAATGAATTGGCAGTACGAATGAAGGTGTCAAATGATCATCTGAGTACTCTGGGATCCTTGGGTCTTCCTGGTTGAGTTGCACATGTGTTTTCATTTTCATGTGGTTAGAAACTCCAAAAGAACATGACACAACCGATAGGGATGTGAAGAATGTTACCACTTCCCATTTGGACTTCTCAGGTATTTTACTTGTCACACTTCAAGCTCATGCTGTGTGGAGTTTTTGATAAATGTTGTATCAGTCAAAGTAATGAAGCTTTACGACGGCGTGATGCTAAAATGTGCTCATTTTACTAGTGTTTCCTGGTTATGTGTACGCCTTCTCGATGGTTTTTCATAGGAACATAGAGATGGTCTTACTAAATCCCACGATACTCCTTTCCCTTCACTTTCGACTATGGCATTTTTCTTCCACTTTTACGGTAGTTGAATTCCAAATCTTTACTAGTGTCCTGTTGCTACCGACATTGTTGATGTTCATGACACTGGCGGGTACTAAACAAGATGAAAGCAGATCCTATGGAGCTAACACAAAGCCACGCACTATTCATCAATCGTCATAGTGGGTACGGTATATGTCTAGTAGAAAAAGATCACGATTCTAATTTTGTATCCACTAAACTGCCTATTTTTGTGGCGAAGTAGCAAACCACACGTTTTATTGACCTAATAGCCGTTCCTTGTATATTGCGATCTTTTAGACTAGACTCTGTATGCGGTGCATCACACCCAGAAATGGTAGCAACCAGCAACGTTTCTGGATATTCAGGCTGTAGCCTATGATCGTTCGATGTGTCATATAACTTTGGACCAAGCTTAGTAGAAAAATTAGATCATCTTTTTGTGGCATCCTCTGCAAAAATCGATACAAAGTGTGTGTGTGTTTCTGAGAATCCAAACTGAAAAACCTGGAATAAACTGGTGATATCAAAGTACAGTTTTTCAAGGCTTATCTATTTCCATTCAAAATATGAACTGAACTCAGACATGACACATCTTTATGCCCCACGTGAATCATTAATTTCTGCTCACAAACTTTGGTCAAACGTTGTTTTTCACAGGAAAATTTCGGCACGACATGCTTACAGGCACATATATAAAAAGAACAACTCAAAACCATATGCAAAAATTTTTAGAATATTTCTGGTCACATGAAGATCACATTACGTTACATATTGGTCCACGTGAAGTAGCTGTTCCGTATCATGTGTTCGGTTTACACAAAGAAGAATACGTACAACTAGCATCCTTAATGAATGTTCCTCAAATGTATCCTTCTACTTTGTTTTGAATAAGTTAAACAAAATGGTCCTCACTTCCTACGCGTGCGAAAGGCAAACTGATGCGATACAACAATTTTTGCGCAAAAGCTTTCATATTTGTCTAACACTGTGAAATGAATGTACTAGTTTATTCATTGGTGGTTGCTTGCGTCTGGATTACCTTTGTGGCAAACACGACTGACAAATGTTCCACTAATTGAAGGAAAGCTTGCCCCGAAGACAATTTCCAATTTTCTCATTGGCTTACTGCTAAAATACTACAAGAACTAGATACAATTCAGGGGAGAGTCGGATGGCTAGATTTGTTTGTCTGATATTTGTCAAGTACTTGGTCCTACGGAGGGTTAGGTTACTCACAAAATCACAATGATAGACTGGTGCGATTTCGCGTTTAAGGCCAATCTACTGCATCACAATTCGTAGACCGAATTTTTTTGGTTTGACGAGAATCTAGTCAAATAAAAACAGTGTTTGCATTCAACAATCTGAGTGCCTTTGAGTTTGTGTGTGGTTCTGAAAAAAAGAATTAATGCGTGAGATTTTGTTTTCAAGGTCTGAGAACAAACAACGTTTTCTATTTTACGCTCTAAAAGCCGCCGGAACCTTCGCCACCCTTAGATGTCCAAAACAACAACTATATATACTATAGAAGCAGTGAAATGTGCACCAAATTCAGGAGTGTAATAATGACTAAGCCTGAGAATCAATCTCCCGCTCCTTCTGGTAGCCTGTTTATTAACTGAAAAGCAGTTGGATGGTAGACATAATTCAATTTCGTTGGGCAAACAGCTCTCAGTTTTATAAGGAACTCTTCAGAAGATGGAATGTTACATTGTGAGTGCGGTGAAGTAATTTGACACTAAACTAGGAGAGGGGGCTTAAAGATTGATTTTCATAAAAAAACTTTCCGACAGATCTGGTAAAATCACCGCGATTTTTAGCTGAATGAGAAGCGAACAAAGACCACTTACTGTTTTTAGAGGGACGTAACTATTGCATTGGCAGTATGGAGGAACGCGCAAAAGACATATACAATCGCCATGCAGAATACTCAGCAAGAATAAATGTAAATATGGCGTCGCTTAGGTAGTAAACAGATAGAAAGAACCTAAATGCCTCGATCCATTACGCAAAAACGAACTCCGTTTTTTATCAACGTTCAATAAGCTAGGGAAAATACACTGGCCGTTTCGATGTACATTTGTATAAGCTCTGCACAAGGAACATTCCGTACTTGTGCTTTTTGCTATACCTGATTAGTGTCTAGGGCTACGCACCATAACATACACGAGTCAAAAATCTTCATTAAGGCACATGATCTGCATTTTTCGTAGCTCCAAGACAATGAAGAAACTTTATTTCAATGTTATTACGGTGCCATACCATTATCTTTAAGTGTTTTAGGCCTTCAGGTTACCTTGTGTAACAGAAATAAAGCTCATCACAATGCGCAACTACTATTTTATCGACTTAATCTTGCTTAATAAGAAAATCTGCTCATCTTTTCGTTTTTTTCAGTTGAACGTTTTTGTACGGGTTGGCGCTTCTTGTTAAAATTATTGAAAACAATACTTTAAAAACATGCTTTGTGATCACGTAATGCTAAAACAAGCATCGTCACCGTACACAACACTCAAGTTCAAGCTTGATAAAACTGATTCGGGATTGCAAATTTATGCGAACGTTCAGGCTATATTTACCGTCTAAAGCAGAAGCAGACTCCAAAAGCTGGCAGTACGGGCTAATTATGGCATTTCAGACTACTAGAAAACACCGATTGCATTGGTCTTCTGAACCCACTTCTAGCAATGACTACAAATTTTGCGTCAAATTATTTGATGAATGCAAAACATACGGACAAGTGACTACTTAAATTTTACCAATTTTACAAAAAATAGGAAGTCAGTTTTGCAGGTGGAATCACAAGGCATCAAAGTTGTGCAGATGACACCACGACATTTGTCCAACCAATCCAGAGATAAATTTAAGCCTCGTCTAAGCTTTCTCCTCTTCCACTGAAGAAGACCAAAGGAGAAAAAAGGTGCTTGGTATCTGATGTCTACCACGTGGTCAAAAACAAAATAAGAAAAGGATGACAGTATAAGATATACTGGACAGACCACTTGTGCTGTGTACAAAAGACAGTAAGTGCGACGCACAATTCTGAGTCAGAAGTTCTCCAGTAGCATAGCTCTGTGGTGTTCTTTTCTTTCTTGTGTCAAAGTGCATGTTTAGGAAAAACATTGTTCAAACTATAGGATGTTCACAAATACCTATTCCAATAATTTAAGTACTAGACGCTTATGTCTAGAAAAGCGAATAGTCCCACCGAATTTCTCAATAGTTAATAGAACTGTACGGGAAGGATCGTTCTGTCCCCTTAATATATACCATAATATCACACGGTTAGCAGTAATTTGGCTGGATATATTCCTGAAATCTGGGAAACCTACAGTGTTTGCTCACTTTTTCCCCGTTTTCAGGGCTCACTAACCGAGTGAGTTGATCGCCCCTGGAGCGTTGGCCCAATTCAGTATCGATGTATCTATTTTACCTGGGATTATACGGGCTCGCTGCATTATTCTGTTTACTTGGTTATATCTTCGCATGGATTGATTGGGCTCTAGGAAACCGATCAAGAAGAAGACTCGCAGTTACCCAAAACTCTACGCCAAGGACGGTTTCTTCTCACTTGGATTCGAATGGAGAAATAGCTACATGCGCACCCGCTGTGGATATCCCCGTGCAGGAACAACAACAAGCGTTTGAAGAGAAGAACACTACAGAAGGTAACTAGCTATCGATTAATTTGTGCTGCGCTGCGTGTGTTCGCATATAAAGTTAGACCGTTTACAACGTAAACACTGTTTGTTTGGTTTGAAGAAAACGGTAATCAACCAACTCCTGCTCCACTTAAGAAGATCTATGACAATGGATATGTTCAAAAACAAACATAGCTTCTGTCTACTGAGATGAAGGTGTTTCCATGTTTTCAGGATGTTTGACCACCTGGCCCGGTGAAATTTCCACGTTCACCTACCTTGGCCATACAGAATAGCTCTACCGGAAACCTATCCAGACCATGATAATGGAATATATATATACAACTGCGGCAGACCTACATACGGAACAAATGCAAATCACGCAACATTTGCACAGTTTAGAAACCGTCGTGGAAAATGCTGCGAGCATGTATCATCATCATCATCATCATCATCATCATCATCATCATCATCATCAAAGAGATCAACATCAGTAGGACACTGATGCTTTACTGTCGTACAGCCATAAAGTTCAACCATGTACATAAGTGTAATAAAGTCCTGGAGTGAAAAGAAGAGTAAAAGATTGGGTAAGAGAAGGGATTTAGTTCTGACCAATATCAAGCATTCTGATGTGCCTACACCTCCAACCGTCCAATCAGACAGCACGGACCCCACTAACATCGATTAGCTGGCATCCCTTGAAACGTTTCCATCCTGTCACAGGCGTGGTCACGGGGACCTTATACTGAAAGGCGTAAAAAACCGAAAACAACCAAACTCTTAGTAATCCCTGCCGCGCCTTTCTGTCAAGTCATGCGCTATCCACCTCGCGGTTTGCGCCATTTTGAAGGAGGCAACACTCAGGAGAGAATCTAGAGGAAGTGAATTCCATCGCACCTTGCTTATTTTCTGCTTACGCCTCCTAACGACTGTAGCTATGTGATCAAGAGGCCGAAAGGTGGATGCTGGAAAGTACAACTTTACCATTTAGATCTCCAAAGGGTACAGTGGGCACATCCAGTTGATTCTAAAAGTCAAAATTATCCAAGTTCCATAGTTTTAATTGCCTCCAGGAGTTAGATTTTGCGTCCGTCTAAATAAAAAGTCTGACATTTATAATGTGCACGTCTAACAAGCAGGCAACCAGGCATTTTAACGAACCACTGGGATACGTCTCTCCGTCTGACTCTGTCCTTGAAAAAGTGGAATAACTAAATTTAAAAAGATTGTATGAAAACTAAATATGTGGTAATATTGATTGTTTTTGGTTTTCATTTGGACTTGACAGTTACGCTAGCTTCGTACACTTGATGAATGCTACTCAACTATGCCCGGCCCCTACTTCACTTCACTGAACTTGTAGAAGTTTCTTTATGTTTTCTTACGGCGCAAGGTAGGAGACGATTGTCTAACCAGTGAAAACACTGAGTAAACGTTGCTCCAATTATTGGGGAACGGAGTACCTATCGGAAAATTAAGCAACTGGTTATGGTTGTGCAATAGGGACACAAATAATCAGTAAAGACTAAAATGCTGAGTATTTTGCCAACGACAAGTTTTTGCGGCAAATGCATTTGACGAAAGTATATTTCATAAACAAACCATAAATAAACCACTTTACGAGTGCATGCACGGTGCGCGGCAGTTTCAGCATGCAGCGCTGCTCATGTAATTACTAATGCCTGAAAACACTACTATTTGTGCACTGCAATTGATTAAGTCGGACAGAGGGCAGAAGCTAGCTTCAAAATAAGCATAAAACCACAATGTATTAAAAAACAGAGTAACCGCAAAGAGATTCACTTCTAAAAATTTTGGCAAAAGCAAGTGACCCCCAATAACGAAAGAATGTCGATAACTACGAAAATAAAAAAAGTTTCAAGAAAGTAGCCTAGTTGGTCAAAGGAATGTAACTAGGCCTACAAAATATTCTTCTCGTTAGTGCGATTACTGATTGCCTAAAAAATGTGTATCATATCCTTGCGTGACTCCACGAGCATTTTTTCGTCATTTTTATACATGCTCAATTTTAAAAGCAAGTTTAGGAAGTTATTCACTCTTCCCGGAAAACCCATGGAAGTAAACTCAGCATCCACCGGTTTCATTAAGGCTCACAAACCATTGCTTCTTTGATCAACAAACAAATTTCTCGTACATTTTTGGTGATGAGAATGTTGTTTCCAATAATAACAGTTACTCTAAAAGCCTGTATCATGACCGCAACCTATTTTCTCATCTAATAGAGTTCTCACTCGACTGGACAAAAATCTGGGAACAACCCTTGGGGACAATAAGCCGTCGTTCCTTTGCAGTAGAAGACTGGTGATCATAGTCTCAAACTTACTCAAAATACCAAACCACCTTAATTCTTCTTTCATTAGAAAGGTCTTTGGTAGTTCCACCGGTTTACATCTAGCAATTACGTCACATCAAATTGTTGATGGCAAAATTTGGCCTAGTTACTGGGCAGAACTTTTGAAAAGTTATGTGTATATTTGCTAACGTGAGTCACTAGCAAAACCCTAAATTTATTTTGCTACCACAATCCAAAAATATCAGCTGGCTAGCACTGATGATCCGGTTAGTGAACTGGACACAGAGTGCTCTAACTTATACACCCCATTCCTGGTGAATGGTCAAGTTATGCTGTTGCTCTGAAGGCTGTAAACTTAAGCTTTGTTGGAGCCAAGGAAAACACTTTTCCGGCGCCTTCGCGATCTCTGAAACTGGGTTGAAAATATTTCAGAGTACCTAACAAATCTGTATGAGATGACATACTGCCCGAAAACATATTCTGTATTCCTCATTAGTTTGATATTATCAAGCACTTTTGCACAGATTCTAAAAGCAAGTGAAATGGAATGAAACTGACAGCGAATTTCGTAGGTATGTGGATAATTGGTGCTAGTGATCTTAAACAAATACCAAGTTTATTAACAGTAGTATAAATTTCCTGGTGATCATAAATTTTGTTGGCCGTTTATGTGCAAAATTCTCATACTCTGCTAGGAAAATGCTAAAATATTCCATTCTCTAATGTGCTCTCAATGTCAGCTTACACAGTTTACAAGTTCAGACAAATTTACATCTAATTCAGCCAACACAGTACATATTCTTCCATATGTGATTATACCACCGTTATCATGTCTGTAAATTAGACTGATGGTGCATTTTTCCAAGAGATGACTTGAAAATTTGACGGACGGGTAAGGAGCGGTTTGTACCATATGGAGAATCATATGAACACTGTGCAAGACCTCGGTTTGTTTGTTTATTTATATCCATGACCGTAAAGCCTCCCTCCGCTTACAGCCAGTCTCGTCGGGCGTTTGTGTCTTGAACACACCTCACGGAGGACCTAACGAAAAAGATAAACAGCTAGAAATCGAAAAAGTATATTAGGTCTTGTAAGCAACAAACATGGAAACGGGTGCTGTGCATTTTATGCTTTAGGCGCGATTGACCGTCAGGTGCTTTTATACAACCTAAGTACTACGAACCCTTTCAAATACACCCCTGTTTAATTTTAAGCCCCGCCGCCGGACGAATGCCTATACGGCAACGGCAAAATGGAAGAATACTCACCGACCACAGATGAACAGAAAAAGTCATGGAACGAACGACGACGTGAACGAAGACAACGTTATAAGCGAGAGAAATTGCAGAAGCAAATGCAACGTGAAGAGGAAAAACGTCTTCTGTCATTAGAAGAGTCTCAGAATGAAGACAGCATGAATTCGGAAGCAGATTTAAGTGCTGGCGAAGCCGACTTTTCTGAACTTTTGAAAGAAATTCTTCAAGCTCATGAGATGTGCTCTCGTAGAGAATCCATACAGGTTACCGATCTTGACGACAAATTGTGCAACGCAAGCATACACGTAGTGGAGGTGAGTATAATTACTCTATTCTTGTGATTCATTCACTATGCAGATGCTTCTTCTTAGCTGATCCAACTTATTTCTACGGGACTGGGTTCTGGTATTATTGTTACATTTGTAATCATCACTCATCATTTTCGGGCATCTAGAGCCACCAAGATTATCTCTTTCTACACTTTTTACTTGCGCATGCATTGATGATCAAAGTTGTCTTGTCGGTACTGGTGTCTAAGTTTTTTGGATTAGAATAAGCCATCCTCAACAACATATTTATTCAAGGCAGCTAGCAAGTTCTTTTTTGTTGTCTGAACGTCAATGAGTCTTTCATGCCCAGGAAACAAAACGTTCACATCATGCATCAGAGCAAAGCTAAGTTAACTGATGGTTTCTGCAATCTCACACTGAGACAACAGTGTTTCCAGTCTTATATTAAAGGGTTTTGTTCTTTTAAACAGAGTTATCAGCCTTAAATGCAGCTGAATTATTCCCCAAATAGAGCAAAACATAACAACAAGAATGGTTTAAACATTTTCTCACATTTAGTTAGATAGGGGTTGAGCACTTCGTCAAAACATAGCATTCATTACGGCCGTACGCATTACTTCTTACGTTCAACAACTCCAGGTTGTTTTTTCATTTTCCTTGGGCCGTGCTGGTGTTTAGTATTAGGCACTGCTTGCCCCTAGTACGAGCGTTGTACGCTGACGCATGGCTCACTGACACAGTACACACATTACACTGATATCCGGCATATGTTCCAGTATGGTAGGTTTTGTCAGTCCAATGGAAAAAAATAATCCTCACCTATGATTAATTTGGTAAAAATGCACAAAATTCCACCGATTTTTAAGCAACAAAATCAAAACTCGAGTACATTATCCAAAACCACGATATGATAAAAAATATAACCGCGTCGTAGTGACAGGCGCGCAACTAAAACGGGAACACCAACCGCAGTTTTACGGGGTCTTATTCACTCAAGATCTGCATATTGAAACAAACGCAACAAACTGTAATGTGTAACAATAAAATTTGTTTGACAAGTAGTACACTATTGTCAGTCGTCTGGATGAATGAATACACACGCTAAGTTTTGCGATCAGACCACTGGTAAGCGTTTTTGACGAATAAACCGGTGGTTTGGCTGAAATATATTAGTCAGAGTAATAATTTTATCCAATCGCCATCAAAATCAATCCGGACTGTCCACATGTAGGAATAAAGTAGGGCTTAACCGGGGATTAGGGAGTTGGCGATGTGCTTACAGACAATTAATCCACTGACTGGAACTTTGAAACTGGTACTTAATTTGCATAGAGTCATCTACTGTTGCATGTAACACTTGATGAATTTTAGAAATAAAGGTGAGCCGAAAACCTCCAGTTATAATTAAATGGCAGAAACTAAGAACAGTCCTTTGAAAACCTTAAAACTGACATTGCTAAAAGGAAGGGAGATGGTTTAGTCGATGCCTTCAAATATATAGTTGTAGAGTTCACCCTGATCAATGAGGTGATCATTCAGGTGAAACATAATTTAAACGCTTTCCCGCGATGTTATATCCTACTGTCCCTATTGGAAAGTTTGCGGAAAATTCAAGCATTGTTAGATAGTGAAGGTGCACTTTTGATGATTTCGATAAGTTGGATTAGTGCAAGTGGGCTTCCTCAATCTCATAGGCAAAACACACCTGGAAAATATTTTTCTGAATCATATTTCTTAAAACCCACCAAGCAGTTTTCGGAAATGAGCATTTGGATGTTGAAAAATACGAACTAAAACACCTGTTATTGCGTGTGGTATGGTAATTTGTTAGTTGCCGTGTCCCAAAAGAAACAATTCTCCTAAAGGGTGTATTTAGCCTCAACTTTCACATTTAGACAGTGTTAGGTATACACCAGGTGATTAAATGCGTTCCATGTCCACACGGCTGTGGGCACGTAAATATGCATGAACTTTATTCCGTTCCACCTCCAGCATAAGTTTTCCCCAGTGACACTGTGAGGCATTTCTGTGCGCCCAAAACACAACAAGAAAATTTACTCCATGTACCATTTCAGGGAAATGCATTGTTCCATTGCGTCAGTAATTGCAAGGCCAGAACCAGCCAGAAAATAGTTGGTAATGACAAATTTCGGAATCTTCAGTGGACGTTTCCTCCTGTAAAGAAGTCAATCTATGCTGCAGGCCCGGGAAGCGCTGTACGGGAATTACAAGGTTATTTGGAATCGTTGATAGTACGCACCTGACCAAACTTCACGAGGTTTCGAATACGCGGCTTCGGATAGTAGTTGACAAATTTTCGGCTAACGCATACTGATCAGCATTGTGATTAGCTTGCAGTTAGACAAGATATAGCATCATTCTTTCATTATTTATGGAATTCGCATACAGGCTGTCTGATTAAGAACTACTGAGAAGGAGAAACATTGTGTTAGGTGGACCTTGGTGACCACCAGACATCTATTTTCTTCAGCGGCTAGGCTTTACGAGCACTTCTTATTAAGTCATGTCGCATTTGCTACAGCTTTTTTAAGAACGCGTTTCAAAATTGATGCGGCTGGTTAGTGTCCTTTAGTTTTAAGAAGGTAAATTTTCCCATCATTAATCCGTCTAGTATTGTGACGCCTAAAAACTCCTCTGACCCAATTAATGCCTGGATCTCTGTGCATAATTTTGATTTGAAATGCTTGCATCCTTCAGTTATTCCATAAGGTCCAAAAAGCCACCTATTTCGAACATTAAACCAAACCATTTTTAACTCAGGGTCTATAACAGCTTTGCATAGCTTCTTGGTTTAGGTGATCAGAGGTCCTTTTAAGGAGTTGATCAAATATGAGCCGTCCAACATTTAATCTCTAGCATTCCCAGATAAGAACCAGCAAAAAATAAGTTCCCGTTTTTTGGCAGCATGTCCAATTAATCTTGGTATGTATTTGTTTTTCGTCCTTACTCCAGTCTGCAGAATGTGTCACGTCTCTGCACATTAGAATGACGTCTAGTTTCGTTATAAAACATGCACAGAGTCGAATGTACACTTTTGCGAAATGCACTGAGCAAAGTGAAGCACGCAGCAACCAACCCACATTTAAAAGAGCACAACAAACAGGGCCTAACTTTTAAAGAGTTTGCAGTCAAAGCAACTGCTGAATACGCACGTGCTTCCTTCATACTGGACTGAGTCACATATACGTGTCGGCTGGATAAGCCATACAAAATCATCTTTTCTAAGATCAAACTGTTGTCCTTTATTTAACCATAATTGCACACATAGTCCTATTGCATTGTTTGTTCAATAAAGGACCTTAAGATAGACTTATTTAGAGAATGAGTTGAATACAAATACACTCGAAACAATAATTAATTTATACAGCCACTGACTTTTACTATACCATTTGCAATCATAAAATTATAATTAGTGAACCAGAAAAATACAATTTCATACGTGTTGTGTTTTAATTCCTGTACGACCTAGTCACACTAACATTTCTAAGGATAAGGCAATTTGATTACCTCGCCACCCGATCTATCACTTATTGTTTAATAATATTAAAAATTTATTGTTAATTTATTTGTTCCGTCCTAGTAAAGACCAGTGTAAGTGCATATTCCACAAAGTTTAAGGGCTATCTGTTTAACCTAGCACCAAATATTTCCTGTATTTGTTTATTCACTACTACCAACACCTAATACTGCTGCCTTCGAAACCACATTTCGAGCGCTGGCCGTTTGTTGGTATTTTGTTTCGAAGATCCAATGAGGAACGCCCACCTACCTAGAGCCATTCCTGTTTCCCTCCATTTCTGCACAAATTTGTAAAAAGAAAACAACCAGTTTTGATTGTTCTGGGGGCTTAAACAAGACGCTTAAACCTATGAATTCACAAGCGTTGCTCCCACGCTACCGGTAAATTTGTAAGGTTATTACCTATCGGTCAAATAGTAAGAACTTCCAAAAGCAGTACACAAAACACTTGTGGGATGAAACCCACAAAACGTGTGACATTCACCAGCAATGACTCTAACTGACAGAATTACCAAAGAAGCATGAAGCTGAAGAATGAACAAAAATGACGATGAACGTAAAAGTTAACAGGAAGAAGAAATTACTTCTTCTATGAGCTAATGCAACGATGGATACCGCTAATGAACGGTGCGAATAGATTATGTTTGATAGTCAAACTCCACTCCGCATCTGATAGAAGGTGAAGTTTATTGCGGATGCTGTGGAACCGCTTTGCATTGCTTGTTCACTATTGTGTAGTAGTCAATGAATATCCAGCAAAGTTTAAGGGGACGCGTGGAAAGACTATGTGCATATGGGACTTTTACTTTCCTCTCTAACTTGTAACTGCCCAGCCCGTGTTCGTCAGTAGATAACTTCAACCATTACTTAAGACCAAAAATAAACCTGGAGGAAAATTGGAATTGCTGTCCAATAACGCTGGGAACATTTATATTGTACAAAATCCTATTTTTCTATCCGCCCCACGCAATCCACAAAACTATTCTGAGATAAAATTTCGTGCTAAAAGGGCACAATGTGATCGTAAAGTGTTCTAGAGGTTACTCAAATTAAGGAATTAACATCAAAATAGAGGGTGTGGAACCGTCATTTGTGGCTTATTGTGCTCTTAATTTATTGGAAGTTGCTGTCTGCCGCCAACTGTTGTTGTCGAATTTTGTCGGATTGCTTCAAACTGTAAGCCCTTATGACAGCTTGCTTAACCATCAGTGAGAACCAGTTAGATTAAATCACTCATGCACCGTTGAAGTGCATTGTTGTTTCAGCGGGAAAATTAATGACAGAAATACTACTAGGAAGATTTGGGATCCAGCAATCTCAAGTGCATCAAGTTACACGTGTACCTCACTGAAAGTGCAATAGTCTGTTTCTTGTTGGTTTATTCTGTGTTCCCCATGATTTTGGTAGCAAAAGGACAGAGATGAATAGTACACACTGTAGCTGGAGGGCGCAGAAACACGTGCTGTACTAACGTTATTTACGCGACCAAAAACAATGCGTTCGTTGGGAGCTTTCATCCAGATTTCTCCATTTGTCGAAAACAATCAGCTCAGGTTAAGTGTGTGGCGAGCGCTTGGACGTAAATTGTGCCCGCGTTTTAAGAAACAAGCATCAAGCATGGTCCGAAGTTGATTGGCAGATGCACAGATTCGCTTAACAGAACATCAGGTTTTATTCGGAAAACCCACTTCAATCGATAAAAGAAACTGCGTAGGTTTGGAACGGGTTTGTGTGAATGTGATCAATCGAATGAAACACATTAGACATTATTAGTGATTGTAGATAAAATAGGTTCCGTGAAAGACATTGAGATCGGCTTGTAAAAGAGAAACCTGTGATCTATTTGCTTATATATGTCTTTAAGATAAAACCTTGAAATTACAACGCCATGGCAGTTTCGTACCATGTGTTTTTAGCAGAAACGCTGAATTTGTATAGATCTACATCCAACTATCACTTAAACAATCCTGGGCACGTTTTAGTACATCGAAATGTTTTGTTACTGTGGTTTATTCAAATATAAAGTACTCAAACGTCAAACAAAACACAAAATGGCTCATTGATGGCCGGATGTCATATCTATCTCAAAGATTTTGAGTTTACTTATTAACTGAAAGTGGCTATAAATTACGCATTTGTGCTTTTATTTCATAGACTGTCCAATAATAGGTTGCAAAAGGGACAACATTACAGACAATATAAGCCATAGCAAGATTACTTTTCCCACGAAGTTATGGCTGATATCTATGTAAGATTACAATCCTCTACAGAACAGTGTGCTAACTACTGTCTCCCAAGCACTAGGATGATTTACTTAGACAGGCACCTTTTACGTGACAAAAATTTCTGTTTTTGGCGCGCAAAAAAACGAACTTTCCATATTTTTCCATGTTTGGTGGATTAGGAAAACGTATCGGTTTACTGTTCTATATCCAACCGTTTTGTATAATCCATCGGTCAGTCTTGACTCAAAATTAACAAAACAGTAGTGTCCCTCGCTTGCTTGTACGCAGCTCTTCAAACCAGCAGACCATTAAAGGAAATCGATGGAAAAATTCCAGCTTAAAAGAGAAGAAAATATCTCCAAAGACAGATGGTTATATTAGTTGGACGTAGATAAGTTTGCTTTGAGTTTTCTTTCACACAATAAGTCTCGCGGTTTCACTGGAACAGTTAAAATCATGGGATGAATATTCTGATTGAAGAAGTCCTATATGACGGAAAATAAAGGATAAAACAAGTAACAGTTTGAAGTAGTAATTAAAATCCGTTAGTTTTAAACACCACCTGTGATCAAGAACATGAATCTCTAGTTTTTAAAAATCCATCCTAATACGACCAAGGATTGCATGCATTTTAAGCGTGTGCATGGCTAAATTTGGAAATTACACTATGCATATAACGTGAGCAATTAAATAGCACCTACAGAGGGGACATTACGGAAAAAAGGTTATTTCACACAATATTTTGTTTTATCTGGCGTAGAAAATAAAAACATAGCAATGTGCTGCATCTTTCAGCCAAAAAGGACCACTACCACACTGGAGTGAATCCCGGTGAGAAGGAAATACACTGTGTTACTGTCTAGAGTATTTTTCTAAAGACTTTGTCATCAAAAATTTTTCCATGATGTCACCGTGCAGTGTTCATCGTCCGAGAAACTTCTGGTTGTGAGGAATATGTGGGATAAATTAACACAGCAGGAAGAACGTCACTAGTCGTCAATACTTCATTTTTTGTCAACAGACTCGGACCCGAAATTCCCACAACACAGAGGTATAACGACAAAATGTATAAAGTGTTGTTTTACGAGGGTTCTGATTTGAAGAGCAGTTTTACGGCGGACACAATATCGACGCATTATACGCGGTGTGGCTCCACTACGTGCTATCAATCCTAGAGCAGAATGGCGCAATAAGACACGAATGCACAGTACGTGCCCGTTTCCTGTGGACGTCCTCATAACATATATTTATCATGAGAACTTCACTGTCATATGCAGTCAAGCTCAACTATCAAACAACCGAAATTATGCTCTACTCAAGACGAATGTACCATACGTTGCGTACCAAGTAGCCATATCATAGGCTATTGAAGTAAATCTATCCGGTAAGGAGTGTGACTCTTTAATTGCTGGGATTACCTTACTGCAGTCCAGCTATCCTACCTTATTCAACCTATCTACCTCATTTGGTACATATCACTTCCACTGTAGCTGCGTTGAGACCCAAATTGGCACGTTAGGCCAGCGTATCCATCGCATGGCACAGTTTAAACTTTTATTGCAAATCAGCGAGCTACAAATACACATCGATGAGACTAAGAACTCGTTAGATTTTTCCTCCTGTGATCTCTGAAACGGCACGGTTCATTTTCATCCTTGTTGCACAACTTGGTTTCAAGGTTGACTGCAGTTAGTCAGTCCTAAAAACACTAGGCCTTCCTGCCATTTTTCTGGAAAATAGTGATCATTGACTGACGTCTACTGTGGAACAAACCTCACCCGCCACTCTTGAAAACAGTATGCTGTTCTCATTGTTTGCTGCCACATGCCCGCCTGATTTACGTTGCATTTTTGGAGTCCGCAACAGCTGATATTAGATGGTAGATAGCGAACTGTCTTAAAGTTGTGCCAACCAAATGAGTAAAGAAGACCCAGTATTTCAAAAATACCATTCACTACCCACTAACAATTAGTTTAATCACCCGTAGAATTCTTAGTTGAGGAAAAAACCTAAAGATTACCAACGTAATTACGTGCCAGCAAAACGATACAAGCACCCGTCATCGCTAGTGTAACTCAGCCCAGTGTCTTTTATGCACCAATTTATTCCATCATAAATTTTTTCCAGCGTGTGTGCAATCGGTGAGTCCAGCGTTCGCCACCTCTTAGCAATGGGGACATTTTGTGCACTGGCACCACCTATCTTTCGTATGAACGCTTGCGTCCTCATTCTTCACAAAATATCTCCTTTCGTCTGCCCGTCTATAACAATATGTACCATAAAAACTATATGAAAGAAATGTTCTCAACTCTACTTTTTTCTTCCGAAAATGCAGCCAAAATGATTTATAACGGCTGTCCCATAATGTTTCGGGTGCGTCAATTACTCCTTCAGTTTTTCTAGCAACGAGCAACTGCGAAATACACTTTGAAAAACTACAACACTGTTGGAAATACCATTGGTGCATTTGAGCAATGCCAGAAAGTTTAATGATCTGCATATCCCATTGGATGATCCTTGAGGCCAAATATTCTTGTCGGTGAAAAATGCAGCGGGTCATTTGAAAAGTTCAGCCTTGTGTTATTTTTCGTTGCCAACTTGCGGTCAGTTTACCAAGTTAGAAAATTTGCATAGTGCATGTGGTAACAAGTAATCTTTTGGAAATCCGTTTTCTTAAAGCTGTTGCTGATTCGTCCCAGCTTTCATAAATTTGGTAACCAAAATCTCAAACATCACCGAAGGTCACATCTTGCCTGGAGTTTTGGTGCATACTAACCTAGTTCTGCATGTCATCTTTGAAGTCAGTGCACAACTGTAACAGCTAAACTTTTCATTGCTTCAAAAATTTCAACTACTAACTCCATCACTTAGTGCGACTTCATCCTCGAGAATGGGTAGAATGTATGAGGTGAATCCCTTTAGTTGCAACCAGTTCTGATCCTGTCGCAGAGAGGTGCAATTTTTATTTCAGCCAAAACAACAAATTTCGATTGCTTCTTCAAATGACACGTGATTCAAATTTAGAGAAAAGTTGTGGAAAATTTTAAGCGAATACACATTTGAGAAGTATGAGTTCGTTTCTATAATCAATGTATTAGTCTAATGCCAAGTTAACATATGTGAAGGTATTACGAAGCCAAAAGCAGTTCTGTTTCTTCAGAAGCCACCAGAAATGGACGCCTTGCAGCTTACATTTAATACCTAACTACGGGGCAGGGCGGCCTAAAGTTAAGTGACAACAAGCGTACGCTTTGTAAAGTGCTTTTAAGTAATATAAAGGGAATGCGTTCTTCTAATTTTGGGCGTACGAGCCCTTCATTCAGACATCTTCCGGCCAAATAACGGATTCGTATAACGACTCAATAATACATTTGTGTAAAAGACATCACCGGAACCCACTTGGGGGGAGTCAGCGAAGGTAAAACACTTCATGTGTTTGAAAATTCTATATGGCGTACAAAAGTCCTTAAATTTAGAAATCCCTTATTAGGACAATAGTGCATACTGCTGAACAAACCTGCGTTGAGTCTCCTCAGACCCGGCATCATCACGAAGGCCCGTACAAAGATAGTAAGGCCGTTTGGACAAATATCCTAATTAATCTCATCACCGAAGGGCTGTTGCAAGCTCGTTATACCCACAATGTTGCGTGTAGACTGTAGGACTTGGGACATGCTAATGCGAATCCAATATGTGCTTCAGTCAACCATTTCAAACCAGGTTATGGTGGAGGTCGGTACGTTTAGGGGTGCAAAGTTGAATGAGCACAACGAACAAGTACTGTGAGTGAATTCAGTGGGCGCATTTTCCACAGCAGACTGTTGTTTGGTTGAACAGTTGGGGCTGCTCCAACCGGCTACTCTTTTATTCCGCTGCCAACTTACGATCATTTGTGATTCACCTGGCGCACGTAAGTCAGTCCTGTTTTGTCCTATAGTGCATCTGATTCGGTTGAATGGCTCAAATCCAGCTCCACTGGCCAAGAGTTCATAATTTGAAAGGACGTTTCCGTGTTACTTAGGTTTCCCAATTTGTGTAGGCCTCTGCTAATAAATAAAACTTGCTTCCCTGTTTGGCTCAGCAAGCATTCGTTGCGCATCACTGACGCGGTCATAATTTGCTTAAGGTCTTTCATATGTGGTGTCAATTTGTCGAAATATTGGTATCTAGGTTGTGTTCACCGGTGGTTGATCAGATGGTTGTTGATCTGTCCGCTGAGCTTGGAAGTTGGCTTGCAAAAGTTTCACCTTCAGTCAAGCAAACATTGTTGGTGCGCAGTTGAGTGGCTGGGCACGGAGAAAGCCAACCTCCATATCTGTTTTATCTTAGATTGTTCTAAGGAAATTTCCTCCTTTTTAACAAGGTGGATTACTCTATGTCATTCGTGTCAAGCCAGCCCCTACTGCGTTTTTATTCACTCTAACAGTTTATACAGCAGTTTAGCGCATACGTGTTGATATTCTGGCCCAATGGGTCCCAGTGAGATGGGGCCCAGGTTTCCGCTAGTCGTCATGATAGTCTCATAAGAATTCATTACAACTTTTTGACAAGCAACTTCGAATCTGCTCCCAATCAGCACTGGGATGGTTTTCCTAGCGCCACACGTTATTTAAATTATACGAGTGTCATGAATACTACGGTCAGTTCCAAGCATTATTTTCCATCTGTAAATTAACGAGATTCCCTGGCCGCACACTAATATAGTTGATTAAGTATCCCTCCTGGTTCTTTGGATGAGCCTATATTGCGCCTGTTGTTTGTCTTACGATGCGTTACTTGTTTGTCATTGAAAGCTCCAAAGCAGTATACTCCCTCAGAAGCTGCACCCCGGAAACTCTTTTTGATTCATTATATGAGGTCGCGATTTCCATGCTCCTACTAATCCGTGTAGTGGACTCATTCAACGAAAAAAACGAGAAAAAACCATATTAACATCGGATTTTAGCTATTGTCCCCCAAACGTAGTGTTTCGTAAATGTATACGAATGAAGTTTCTGCATCTGGATTAACACAGACATTATTTGTGGTTCTGGTGCAATATAACGTATGACCTGAAGGAATCCTCACAGTTTCCTTTGATAAGTCTCCAGAGTTTCATTGAGTGCAGAAAGAGATCTCCCGTAAGAAGTGGGGATTTTGGTGTCGTTGTTGCCGTTGGCGTCTTTGCGTTGCAGGTTTTAAGCCGAAAATGTGATTTCATTGATAATAGGTATTACGCGTGAAACGTGAAGAGTTTTATTTAATAGGACTTGAAATGAATCTTTCTACTGGGCTCAAAACACCAGGCTCCAACCAACCAGGCGTTTTATTAGGACCAACACACCGGGGCTTGGAGTGGGGCTCGAAAGTCATACTGTTGCGCACAGCTATTGCTTTCTGATCATCCATGAATTCTCGATCTGTACAAACATTCTGAAGATATTTAATGATGCATCGTCAGACATTACTGATGTTGGTTAATCGGAGTGTGTGGCTTCTATGACCGATTACTCTATCCATCCCTTCTTGGGAAAAACAGCATCGCTTCTTCCACTGATGCGGAGATTTAGACCATCTAGGAAAAGCCATTAGATCCAACGCAGAAAACAGAACAAATGTATTCCTACTACCCCCTCGTGGTAAAGGTTGTTGTATGATAAGCACCCCCGGATCACCTTCTAACTATTCCTTATTAGCCCCCTTGACTTTGCTGAACATCCGGAAGGTGAGTTTTAGCTAGTGTACCCAGCTGCCAAAGACCAGAAGTTTACGGCTGTAGATAAGGACATACGCATATATATGTACATATTACTCCCACTAAGACAATGCTATTTATCGAATCCGAAACAATCCCAGGTTTTTCTCTGCCCAGTTTAAGGCTGTAATGACTTCCAGAACGTTGGACCAAAATGGGATAACGAGCACTCATTCAAAGGAGTATAAAGTCATCAAGCGCTTTCAATCAACTCTTCATTTGCACATGAACAGGCCGTAAAATTTACTTCTTTTCCCAACAACTGCCGAAAGAATTTTTAAAAAGGTATTTGTCAATCTGGTCGTTATGTGATTGTTTTCCTCTGGGCTACGTTTTAAAAAGGCTCGCACTTTGTCAGTTAGCTGTGCAACATAATAACAGAATCCTCAAATCCAGTGACTTTTGTAGGGCGGCATCATTTTTTACCACAGAAAATAACATCAATCTTATTTCATCAGCTGCCAGCGTTGGGCCAACTTGCCTTGGTATTTAAGTCTCAGTGTTCTCTGTCTACCATGTGAAGAGAAAACCAACACAGTTAATGCAAGAAGTAATTCAGTAAAAGTGCGCTGACAGTCATTATTTATGAATTCGGTGTAACTTAAACATCATTATGCGAACCAGTCAAATGTGGCAATTTGCAACAACAGCCGTAAATTGGTGTGGTATCCAACATCAAAGAGAAACGACCCCAAAACTTTAAACAAAGGGGCCCCTTCTTCATGATATCCCCTCTCCCAGTTGAATACTTTATACGTATGTCTGGTACTTTACTAGAAGGGCGAAAGACATTCTTATCTGTCTAAGCAGCTGTTTTTATTCGTGACTATTCCAGCTAATAGTTATAATGGACATCAACTGACTGGATTGACCACTCACAACACCCATTATCCAGAATATATGATGTAGCTCAGATAATAACAATACTTATCAGGCCAGCAAAATCCTGTTTCTGGGACTGTGGCTTTAATGTTTCTTAGAACTGGTTAACTTGTTGAACGGTGAAAAAATAATCCAAAATCTGAGTGGGACAAAGCCGCAACATTCAGTTACACGTACGATTGTCTGCTGTGCGAGTAGGCTCCCGGTGATTCGTTCGAATACAAAACCGAAACTTGCTTAAGAGTCCTGTGGTCTCAACCGGACGTTTAGCGAGTGAACTCGAGAAAACGCGTGTATCTGTAGATTTTTGGGTGATTGTCCAGGCTGGGTTGCGAAATTAATAAGGAGCAGTCAATGTCAGACTATCAACAGGGGAGAAACATGACGTTTAAATGTAGATTGCCTTGGAATCATGTTGCGCTACGGTAAGATTTAACTGTCACGAATATTCCAGCCTCCAGAACACGGTCCTTAATAAACACGAAGACAATCAGTATTTCTTTGCGCACTCAGTTGCGTTCAGTTGCGGTGCCCTTTCGGTGCCTAGCTGCCATGCTACTCGAGGTTTGCACGAGGGCTGGGATACTGCCAGGTTGCCCAAGCCTTGACAGGGGAAGTCGAGAGGCAGAGGTCGGATTCGAACCACGGATATTCCGGTCAGTAAATTCGCGCTCTAACCAATTG